TGTTTGTTGTTAGTCCTGGGGGAGAGAGCGGCATGACAGCTTCTGCTCTATTCCTTAGGGAACTCGTAATCAGATCGCCTAGTCAGTGACTCTTAGTAACCTCCTGTTAAGAATGTTGTCAAGAACCCAGCAAGGCATGTTCTTAAGAGCAGGTGTAAGGAAGCATGAAGTTTATGTTCACAGATGGATTTTTATACCGCCAACATGCATAGATCTCTTTTCCAGTCTCAGCCATAGCTTTGTAATGGAGAGAGTCTTTTCATCCGAAATATGCTCTTTTAGATGAAGAAACTTCGAGAATAGTGCACTAGGCTCTCAGATCTGTGAGGGCAGGGGTTCTGGGTTTTGTTTACCTAATGGTGAACCTGGCCCTCAGCAGCTAGCACAAGACCTGACACAGGGCATGTGCCCAATAAACTATCTGTTGAATGATCCTCCGTGGTATTTTGGTTCTGAATTTATTGGGTTTAAATTACAAACAAAAAACAAAAAACAAAAAAACTGGAGCTGGTGATGACTGATTTTGCTGGCCTGTCCCTGCAGTGGAAAAATACTGGTGCTCTGCGATAATGGTCACGTTTCAAGCCAAGTTTTGTTTTGGGTCTTTTAAAGGCGTTGAACCAAATAGTAAATGCTCCGGAGCTCTACTACATCATGAAACTTTGTCGTTCTCTTCTGGGGTATTCAAAACTTGTAGAGATGGAACTAAACTTCTTCTAACAGAGAGAAACCCCTTCTCCACTAAAGGGCTGTCCTCACGGCCACGAGGCAGGCCTCCATGAGGGAGGTGGGACTTATGTATCTTCCTTCTTTCCATCGTGTGGATTCAGGTTATGACATTGACAGACTCCTTTAAAGACTTCCTTGCCTGAGGCCCGAGATCTCTCAGCTGAACACTGGTCTTTACCTTACTGTCAGTGCAGGGGTTTGTGTGCCATGGTACTTGTTGCTCCGAGCTGGGCACAGAGTCTCTCATTCTGCCTGGACTGTGGCAGCATGCAGGCGGTAGGATCAGCAGACCTAGATTCAAACCTCCGCCCTGCTGACTCCCGGCTCCGTGACTCGGCTGCTTAGGTAACTCTCAGAGCCTCAGTGTTTTGTCTTCATAATAGATGTCTGTTATAGGTTGTCATGGAGATTAAATGACATTACACACACATTTACCTGTAGGCTGTCTGGCATTGAGGAAGTAGGGCAGAGTGGCTTTGGGGAGAGATGGGTGGGATTCCTCAGTAAATGATAGGTTTCACTTCTGGTACAATTATATGTTCTGCCTTCTGTCTATTTCTTATTAAATGATTGAATCAGGAGAAATGCACATTTTTTAGCACTCTTATCATTAGGAATCTGAACTATTAATTTGTGGTCCTTTCTTTCATCGTTATTTTATTTTATTTTGCTTTGTTTTTTTTGTTTTTTGTTATTTTTTTTGTGGTACGCGGGCCTCTCACTGTCGTGGCCTCTCCCGTTGCGGAGCACAGGCTCCGGACGCGCAGGCTCAGCGGCCATGGCTCACGGGCCCAGCCGCTCCGCGGCATGTGGGATCTTCCCAGACCGGGGCACGAACCCGTGTCCCCCGCATCGGCAGGCGGACTCTCAACCACTGCGCCACCAGGGAAGCCCCCATCATTCTTTTAGATGAAGGAAGCACACTTCTGGGATCTGAATTCTAGCATCTCACAGGGCAGGGGACAAATGCTCTAGGAAGTTCAAGTGTCATTGATTCCTGTTCCTGAGTCGGGCTTTTTGCCTGTCTCTGGAACATGATACTCCAGCCTCCTCAGGAAAAGCAGAGTTCACTTGATATCTGGCCAGTCTGAGAATCAAAGAGTGAACTTTTCATTCTTAGATCTGTGATGTTGCCACGGACCCTGGACTTATAAATACGAAAAATACATACACTTCCAGAGCTAAAACATTATTGAATGTTTGTTGTTAGTCCTGGGGGAGAGAGCGGCATGACAGCTTCTGCTCTATTCCTTAGGGAACTCGTAATCAGATTGCCTAGTCAGTGACTCTTAGTAACCTCCTGTTAAGAATGTTGTCAAGAACCCAGCAAGGCACGTTCTTAAGAGCAGGTGTAAGGAAGCATGAAGTTTATGTTCACAGATGGATTTTTATACCGCCAACATGCATAGATCTCTTTTCCAGTCTCAGCCATAGCTTTGTAATGGAGAGAGTCTTTTCATCCGAAATATGCTCTTTTAGATGAAGAAACTTCGAGAATAGTGCACTAGGCTCTCAGATCTGTGAGGGCAGGGGTTCCAAACCCCGAGAATAGTGCACGAGGCTCTCAGATCTGTGAGGGCAGGGGTTCCAAACCCCGAGAATAGTGCACTAAGCTCTCAGATCTGTGAGGGCAGGGGTTCCAAACCCCGATGCTTAGAGCCTCATGGTTTTTTGCTGCGTCTACAGACTCTGATATAAAAGGACACTAACAGTCAAAATCACAGGCCACGTGTGCTGCTTCTGTACATGTCCTAACAAGGCTGTTTGCTCTAACGGGACACCCTCCAGACAGACCGACACATGTAAGGGAAACAAAAACACGCTCATCTACACACTGGCACATAACTCCCTATGAGTTATTATTGAAGTGTGTCCTTTTCAACATTTGAGGGTCTCATCTGAAGACCACGTCACAGAAGTCCAGCAGACAGCTGCAGCCTGTGTTACCTTGTTTACGGACCCCGATGGTGGTGGAGGGGAGAGACTGGGTGGCTTGCTCACAGCTTCTGGGTTCTCGTTGATATATTTTAATCTTTTGTTTAAAAAACCGGGGAACTAACAGGACCCTAAACGCACCATGTTCAAATTTAAATGCAAATTCTAAAGCCACATATAAATACTATCATTTGTTTATGTGCTGTTCGGGATTATTTGATCTGATCTTTGCCCAGTCAGCCTAGCATTGTTACCTGATAGTAAAGAAGGGAGGGTCACCGTTTTCCGAATCAAAGGGCCAAGAATGCGGCCATTGTAAGAACGCATCTCATCTGTCTTCTCCCACTAGCGGTTTTATGACTCAGAGACACCCCTCCATACACAGATTCAGACCATTTTTTGTTTTACTAAGGAGATTTGATATATTTTTCTGAGACTTATAGAGCAAACCAAATAGGATAGTAAGAGACCAGTAGATGGAGATTTCTTTCCATCAAAAGCAAAGGTTGAGTGGAAGGTGCTGCCTTCACCCATTAGATCTTCATAGCTAGATGTTCATGCTGTCTTGATTTGGGTGTAAACGTGCATCTTAGGCTTAACCCTATTTCCGCACATTGAAAGCCACTCAGAGCTGCCACTTAAATGAAAATTTAAATAAAGGCTTGAAGCAAGAAGAGGGAGGGGCTTCCCTGGTGGCGCAGTGGTTGAGAGTCTGCCTGCCAGTGCAGGGGACACGGGTTCGTGCCCCGGTCCGGGAAAATCCCACATGCCGGGGAGCGGCTGGGCCCGTGAGCCATGGCCGCTGAGCCTGCGCGTCCGGAGACTGTGCTCCGCGATGGGAGAGGCCACAACAGTGAGAAGCCCATGTACCGCAAAAAAAAAAAAAAGAAGAGGGAAAGTATGTCGAAAAGACAATATACTATAAGCTTGGCCTAAAGTCATTTTTAAGCAATTATGGATCATAACGATTTTCTAATTTGAATTCTGAAGTTTACCAGTCAAGAAACCAAGACTCAACCTCACTGGCTCATTCAAAGGGCTATTCTTGGTTAGGAGTGGAATCCCTGAGCAGCTGGTGACCCGAGAATAAGAGATGTCAAACTTCCGAACAGTTTGTCCCTGGTCGACTTAATATCAGCGGCCCTTTTTTTAACAGTTTAACCAAGGTGCTGCTTTGTTTTTCTAACTCTTGGTTAGATTTTGGCTCTGCTCACAAATCCAGCAGTGATAATTACATAAGATGTGGCTTTATGAAGGGTGAAAGTTGTATTGACCTTTGGTATCACCAAGCCTTTGGCTTCAGACATTTATCATGGAAATAATCCTGGTGTACATCAAGTAGTATTCTTTCCATCACCTCAGACCTAAAGATCATGGATATTTTTGGTGTTTAGATACTTCCATCACATGCCAGCATTAACTTCGGTAAAATCATGATGAGCTCTGACTCTCCATAGTCAAACACTGGATCTCATCAGGTCTCTCACAGGTGATTAGTTCTGAGGGTCATTCGTTTTTAAAATGAGCAATTCATAGAAAATCTAAATATCAGTGTTACAAGCCACATATAAGCCAGCTTATCCTCTTCATCTACTCTAACTAGAAAATTAGGTTTTCGAACAAAGAGTTAGAAAGGAAATTGATTCTGTCACATCTGCCATGTCTGGCTGATTTTAGCATTAAGTCTCCTTCCAAAATCCAAAGTCTCCTTTTACAATCCAAAGGTGTCTGTACAGTTGACCCTTGAATAATTCGGGAGTTAGGCATTGTTCAACCCTCAGCATAGTCGAAAATCTCAGTATAACTTAGAGCCGGCCCTCTGTATCCATGGTTCCACCGTATCTGAGGCTCCGAATCCATGGATGCAACCATGTAGTAGACGGTGTAGTAATGTAGTATTTACTATTGAAAATAAGTCCGCGTGTAAGTGAACCCGTGTAGTTCAAACCCATTTTGTTGTACGGTCAGATGTAGGAATAGGATGCTAGTCTGCAGTGGGGAATTGTTGGCTCCTTATTACTCTTATTTTTCGCACGTCTTTTGGTCACTAAACACCTGTGACCAGAAGACGTGGCCTTTTATCTACATAATCTTACATCTTACATAATATTTGTCATGGGTTGAAAATTAGGATGTGCCTTAATCTCATCTGCAATACATTTAATGAATACACCTTGTAGTAAAAACAAAAAAGTCATTTCATGTGTTCCAGTACTAAATTTTGTCGTTTTACCTGTGTGGTTGTACAAGTCATTTATTTCTATTCCTCACACTTATTTGTGGCTACTGGTGAGCTTCTGTTGAAGTATAACATGAATACAGAAAAGAGCCTGAATTATAAATATATATGTTGATGAGTTTTCACAAAGTAGACAAATCCACGTAACCAACATCCTGATCAAGAAATGTGGCCTGCCCTCTGGAAGCCCTTCTCATGTCCCCTTCCAGTCAATACCATGACCTTCCACCCCACCCACAAGAGCCATTCTCTTGACTTCTAACGTTATACATTTGATTTGCTTATTTTTGAACTTTGTATAATTAGAACTTTACAGTATGTATTCTCAGGTGTCTGGCTTGTTTTCCTTGGCTTTATTTCTGGGAGGTTAATCCATGATGTTGCATATAGTTGTGTCCATTCATGTTCGTGGCTGTGTAGTATTCAATTTTGGAACTTATTTGTTCTACTCTTGGGCATATGGATGGTTTCCAGTTTGGGGTTCTTATAAATAGTGCTGTTATGAACATTCTTATGAATGTCTTTTGTTGAACTTAAGACCACACTTGTCTGCTGTGTACTTAAGAGCGGAATAGATGAGTCATATGTTTAGCTTTAGGAGATACTGCCAAATAGTTTTCCAAAGTGTTCCACCCTTGCCAGCACTGAGAGAGAATTCCAGTTTCTCAGCATTCTTTCCGACACTTGACACGGTCTGTCTTTCATGTCAGCCATTGTGGTAGGTATGTAGTAGTGATGCCTGTGGTTCTAGCCTCACTTTTTTTGTATGAAATAATTCCTGTGTTCCCTTCCAGTTCTGACACTCATCTTTTATGAAATACCAAATTTAAAACTCCTTCCTATATGGTAGATAGTAGCAGCAAGAAAATGCCACCTCTTGATATTTTGGTAACAGGAAGAGATAGAAAGAAGTGATTATTGTTATTGCTGATGACAGAAGATAAATCCTCAAGATGTCTTTGCATAATGGCAGTATTCTAACAAGTTTATCCAAAGTTCACTTATTGTTGATCACTTTGGGAAAGGCAAATAAAAAAGGCAACAAAGGATAATCAATTCATGCATAATGTAGACCTGTCTTCAAAGCTGAAGGCCCAAAAGGCCCATAAGAGAAATGGTCAAAGCGAATACTGTTTGCCCTTCCTTACCTCTATAACCCTTGCCTTATGTGTACAGTAGAAATAAAATGCAGAAGACCAACAGCAAACTTGAAACAAAGATACTTTATCTCTTACTCCATTTAAGTAAACAAATGCATATTTATGAATTTGGCATACCTATTTATATTTGAAATATTCATTCACTCATTTTACAGATATTTATGGAATACTTTTATCATGTCAGGCACTGAAATAGTTACCGGGGTACAAAAACACAAACTCCTGGTGCCAAGGGGCTTATAGTCTAAAGAGAAGACAGACGTGTCAACAAATAGTTACTATAGAGTATAAAAATATATCATCCATTAGGACTGCTATAATACCGTAGACTGGATGGCTTATAAAAGATAGAAATTTACAGTCCTGGAGGCTGGAAGTCCAGGATTAAGGTGCTGGTGTTTAGTGAGGGCCGACTTCCCAGTTCATGGACAGCTATCTTTTCACTGTCGTCTCATGGCAGGAGGAGTGAGGGATCTCTCTGGGGTCTCTTTTATAAGGGCACTAATCCCATTCATGAGGGCTCCATCCTCATGACCTAATTGCCTCCCAAAGGCCCCACTTCCAAATACCGTCACATCGGGGATTCCTTTTCAACATATGCATTTGGAGTGGGGACGGGGGAGTGAGTGGACACGAATGTTCTGTCTATAGCAAAGCATATGTGAATTACAGGGCACGCGTAGGCTGCGGTAGGTGACACGCAGGGGAGGATGAGCAGGTCTCCCAGAGAGGGGCATGTCGGAAAAAGCCTGCCCAGGAGTGGGAGCTGGCTCTTGATCTGGAATTTGCCAAACCAAAGAGCAGTGAGGAGGCCATTCCAGGACAGAGGGAACTAGACAAGGAGGTGTGGCACAAACTAGTTTCTCTCTGGAGCTTGAGTTATGAGAATGATGATGAGAAGCAGCAGGTAATGAAGGGCTTCAAATACTATGCCAGGTGTTTGAGCCTGATTTCTCCCCACTGCCTGCAGAGTCAGTCCTGTAAACATTTTTGAGCCCTGTGCCAGATTTTAGGGCCACAGAGATGAATCAGTCCATGTATTCTATGGGCATATGTTCCTTGAATACCTACTGTTTGCCAGAATTTGTCCCTAAAAACACAACAATTCCAGGGGGTAGAAAGACATTTTGTTTTTCGTTTTTTGTTTTTTTGTGGTATGCGGGCCTCTCACTGTTGCGGCCTCTCCCGTTGCGGAGCACAGGCTCCGGACGCGCAGGCTCAGCGGCCATGGCTCACGGGCCCAGCCGCTCCGCGGCATGTGGGATCTTCCCGGACCGGGGCACGAACCCGCGTCCCCTGCATCAGCAGGCAGACTCTCAACCACTGCGCCACCAGGGAAGCCCAAGAAACACATATTTCTTTTAAATGATTACAGACCTGCATGGTAAGTAGTATAATAGAAACACATGCTTTCTTCTTCCCTGGACCTAGAAAATAGTGAATCGTCTGGGAACTCTCAACCTTCAAGAGTTTTACATAGGGAACTAATAATTAATAGTGATCATAGTTTTGATGGAAGAAAAGCAGTACTGCTGAGGGAGTGATTTCCAGTGATCTGCAGCTGAAGTAGGTATTTTAAATATTCACTGATTCATGTTATCAGTCTAGTAAATTTTGCAAGACTGGTGAGTCTTCAGTTGCGTCACCTGTACTTTCTCTCGGCCCGGAGCGTGCTTGGCCAGCCTGGCCACCAGGAGCAGGCTTTTCAGCTCTTCTGTTCTTGCATTTCAGGTGAGCAAGAATGAGCGGCAGGTTATGAAGCCGTTGTACGACAGGTACCGCCTGGTCAAACAGATCCTGTCGCGAGCCAGCACCGTCCCCATCATTGTGAGTACACTGCGGCCCGGTTGTCAGTTACCTGGCCCAGTGGGCCCTGGCTATATTACTTGGGCCCCAACTTGCCTTCTCATGAAAGAATAGTCTCTCATAGTTGAACCTGCCATTAATATCCATGGCCCCTAAGCTTGAGGGATGAATAATTTACCAAAGACTTCTGAGGCTACGTTTGCCAAAAATGAGCAAATCTGAGGCCGACAGAAATTTGTTTTCCCTCTTGGGGATATGCTTTGGCCGTATGCATCCATCTGACACGTGCTGGGCCAGCTTTCCCACGCTTTCCTCAGAGACGGAGCACCGAGAGGACGGGGCTGTGCCCTCGCCAGGGCCCCGCTACAAAGAGTCTTATCGGCCTCTGTTAATAGTCTTCTCTCCACCTCCAAGAGATGGGTCAGCCCTGCTGGAATCAAATCCAGGGAGAGAGCTTCTAAGGCACTCAGGAGAGGGACCCTCCTCTTTTTGGAGGATGTAGGAAAGTGTGAGGTGGAAGAAAAGGGAGGGCAGCTAACGACTGTGAACTGCGCTCAGTGGCCACCGCCCTTGGACTTCACTGCTTTGGGCCTCTGAATTGGGACTTTGTCAGGAGTAGGGAACAGCGACTGGCCCTCAGCTCGAGGAAACCCTTTTCGGGCGCTGGCCAGCCTGCCCCACCCCCGATCCCAGCCCTGCTGCGAGGGCAGTGTTTCTGCCCTGTCCATCTCGTGGGGACCCTTTGCCTCTGTTGTAGCGCCCACCTCGGGGGTCCTGAGGGTTCCTCTGCTGGCCTGCAGGCTTTGTAGTAAGCGGGCGCGGCCTCGCTTTTGTGTTGTTGCTGAAATGCGTGTTCTTCTCAGCTGCTGCTCTTCTATTCCTCCTTTAAATCTCCCTGTTTATTTCTAGGCCCAAGATGCAGTCTTTATGTCTTTTAACAGTATGTTTGTTCATGTTTCATGGGGCAGGGTCCAGAGACCTCAGGCAGGTGTGTTTGAAGAAAGCTACCTTTCTAGACGTTTTCTACAGAATAAATCAGTAACCTAAGCAACAAAAGGATTCAATCTAAGAAGTCCTTTTCATTCCCCAGTCAGGGGTCCTTAGTGTCCCTCAGTGGGGTGACTGTATAGCCCCTGCTGATAACCTGTGCATTGCCTGATGAGCTTACGTTATCGTTAGTTGTTCTGGAAGTTACGGTGACTAGGAGGAAAGGCGGGAGGCAGGTGCTCCTCAGGTTTTTTCTGCGTGTGTGGTTAACATACTCGTGTGCCGTCCTTGCTTTCATGTGGCCTCTGTGGGTGGGGGTCGGGGAGAGCTCCGAAGTGAAGCAGCAACTTGGACAAGAGGTTCAGTTGTGTCTGGTTTTCCTGGGACTTCTTGGCGGGGAGGGGTTCGAGTCTGTAGTTAAAAGGCAGAAGTAAATACTTGTGAGTCAGAAGGGGATGGGGAAAGAAGTTCTCCGTGTAACCTGCCTATTAACGCCTGTCGCAGGGTTCCCCTTCCAGCAAGCGGAGAAGCCCTTTGCTGCAGCCAATTATCGAGGGCGAAACTGCTTCCTTCTTCAAGGAGATAAAGGTGAAGACCCCCAGCTGCTAACCGCTTGCTACATCCGCAGCAGTGCCTCTCCCTCCCTCCCTCTCTCCCTCTCTCCCTCTCTCCCTCCTGTGGATGGAAAGCCGCTGTGATCGGGCCCTTTGGTGATGGCTTCCTGCAGCCATCCCTAAAAATCAGTAGCAGCCACATAGCACAGGGAGATCAGCTCGGAGCTTTGTGACCCCCTAGAGGGGTGGGATAGGGAGGGTGGGAGGGAGGGAGACACAAGAGGGAAGAGATATGGGGAGATATGTACATGTATAGCTGATTCACTTGTTATACAGCAGAAACTAGCACACCATTATAAAGCAATTATACTGCAGTAAAGATGTTAAAAATAAATAAATAAAATAGAGCTAAATAAATTTAGAAAAAAAAGTCAGTAGCTGCTTCTAACCAACTTGGAGCAGTCCTCTTTTGTTTGTTATAGACCGGCTGTTTATTTGTTATAGACCGGCTGATCTCCTTAGTTTCATTTCTTTCCCTCGCTGTTGTGTTGTGTTTTGTTTTGTTTTGTTTGTCGTTGTTTGGTTGGTTTTTACTTTGCTTGCAGGGATTTTTGTTTTGTTTTCAAAATGTTTTTTGTTTTGTTTCTTTCCCCCCATTTGAGGAATGGATGTTCTGTACTCCAAAATTTTGTTAAATTAACTCATTGGGTAACTTAAAAAAAAAAAATCTCATTTACTAAGTTTATAGCGAAACCAAAATTCACGAAGGCAGTGTACGTAGCACACACCAAAAATTATCATTTTATAGACAAATATCTTAGTTGTCTTTGACAGATATGTGGGTACAGTTTCATCCAGTCTCCTTTCCTCTCGCCTTCCCCCCGGCACATTTAGTCCTTGGTGCTAATTTTATAATCTGTTCTTGATCTGTGAATGTAGTACTGTGACCAGCAGTCACTAGAACGTGCGCTCTGGTTTTTTCCACCAGTAGTAATCATGGATTTTGTACAGATAATCCTTGTCCTTGGTGGCTACTTTTGCTGAAATGGGAGGAACCATCTGTGCCCATAGATCTGTAGGGACCTAACTGGCCTAGACTAGGATCAATCAGCCTCTTTCATAGTTTTATTTCTGGACAACTGAACACACTGACTGCCTTGTACAGGGCTCTAGAAATGAAAAATCAAAGTCAATCTTTTTAAAAAATTGATGATTGTTATTTAGCAGTTAAGTCAGAAGCGGGAGTAAAACCCCACGTGGAAGTGAGTGTTAAGAGTTTCACTTGTCATATTCCTGTGGCAACCCCAAGCCTGGGGTGTCGTTTCTTTACTGTAGCTAGGAACGATTATTTCAAAATATGGGGGCCTCGTTCCCACGGAGGGATACCAGTTGAGAACTGCTCCATTTTCTTGCCTGATTGTCTCCACTGTAACTGAGGTAAGGAACCGGAAGCTACAAAGCCTTCTCTTCTCTTCACTCTCTTCCTTTTCTTACCTCCCAAGGGTCTTAACTACTTCATAGACCTCACTTTAAGGTGTTAGGCAGTGATCGTGCTCACTATTCATATTGTTTAAACAGAATCTGTTTTGTAAAAATGCTGTAGATGTGAAATTTAGGCAAATATGCTACACCGTATCTTCAAAATTAGAGCCATTTTCTTACAATAAGACTCGATGTTGATCAGAGAAGACAAATTTTATCTAGCTGGTAATTTCACACAAGAATTAAAACACCGTAATTGAAGAAATCTGGGCAAGCGTGTGCATGAAAATTAGCATATTTCTCTTAGAAGCGTGCGCTAAAACTATTCCTAGATAAAAATGTGTTCTTAAACACATCCGAAATATGACACTTGATAATTGCCTCATGAAACGAATGGAAGATACAGGAAGGATGCTCTTTTTAAAAGTTGTTCCTCCAAATCTTATCCTTTAGCTTAGTTTATTTTTTTCACAATTATGTTTTGGCCACTGGCCCTCACGATGGTCAGAATTTCAGATAATTTTGCAATTATTACATTGCTCTCACAAATGGTGTTGTCTTTTCGTTCATTTTGTCCCAGTTGGCCAGGTTTATCAGCATGTATTCAGAAACCTGGTTAGAATTTAGAATTTGGTGTGTGCGCAGAATAAGAAGATTGTATCTAAATGGTTTCTTTGAAAACCATCCCTGATTTTTAATGCTTCTGGGAAGACACCAGCTGTGTGTGAAAGAGAGCCAGTTCAAGTTCTGAAGCCCTAGAACTTCCAGCCCCCCAAATCCTCCAGATCATCTAGTCCGTTCTCTGATCCAACGTAAGAGTTTCCTCTAAAACTTCTCTGACAAAATAGAGACACCGTCCCTAAGAAGTTATTCCACCCTCAAACTTGAGACGTCTACGGCAATGAAGAGAGTAAGGTCGCTCGTTACACGGGCTACGCATCTACAAGAGCTAAAAATTTATGTTATTAGTTTTATAGCTTATCGTTTGAAAAATTATCTAAAACAATATAGTAATTATATAATTTTAGAATGTATAAGTTTAATAACTATGAAATATAATTAATGAAATAATTAGCTTATAGTATTCACAGTTATGATTGTATGACTTTCTACTTACAGGCCTAGTTTTGCCTCTGGAGCAGCATGGACTGAGCATACTGCTTTCTCCTTGAGAGCACTTTGCGTATTTACAGTCACCTGCCCTGCCCACTGCCACCCACACCCTGTGAACATTTTTTCTCCAGGTTCCTCTTACGCTTTTCTCATGTGATATGGGCTCCGGACTGTCCAGCAGTGCAGTGGCTCTGCGCTCTACACCAGCCTCTCTATACCCCTCTTAAAAACTGATACCCAGAACTGAACGTTATTCTAGATGTGGTTTAACCAGCCCGACAGTGGACCGAGGACTAGTCGTGACCTTGCTCTAGATGACCGAGGCCCTTCAGTTCTCGGAGTCTGTGCCTACGTGACTGTCAATGTGCTGTAAGTTCCTCTTAGTCTTTCTAAGGCAGGATGTCTCAGCCTCAGCACTGCAGACATTTGGGCCAGGTAACTCTTTGTTGTGGAGGACTGGCCTCCACCCACTGGCCTCCATCCCTCCCCAGTGTGACGACCAAAAATGCCTTCAGACATTGCCAAAGGTCCCCTAGGGGGCAAACCTGCCCCCAGCTGAGAACCACGGCTTGTCGCCCTGCCTAACTGTTGATTTATGCAACCCCCAGCTTCCTTTTCCAAGGATTGCTTAGTGTCTGTGTGTCCACTTTTTTTTTCCTAATCTAATTATAGGACCTTGAATTTTTCCAGTTTGTTACTTTTCATACTTCTGTGCTAGCCTTATGAAATAGATTACATCTAGACTTTATATTCCAGCACACCCAGATATCCCTACCCACCGTGTTATCTACGCATTTTGTGAATATCTTTGGCGCCTTATCCAAGTGACTGCTAGATATTGAGTAAGGATGGGTCAGGTAAAGAGCCTGCCAGAGGCTCCCCTGCAGATTCACCTCAGCACTGCAGCCGCACTCTGCATAAATGTTCACACAAATCAGCCTGCCTCGTTCTTTATTGAAATCCAGATATTATCCCAATCCTATCACAAAAGAGGAAAATGGTTAGTTTTTCTGATTTGTGTACAAGAAGCCAGTGCTGGTCACTGTTGATCCCTGATTCCTTTTCAGTTGCTCATATGTTATCTGGACACTGATTCCTTCTAGAAGCTACTCAGTATCCACAACGACCTGATGGTCTTACAATCTGAAGATCTGTTTTGCTGTTTCTTTTTCCCTATGTTTTTCACAGCTTACTGAGAATAGCTTTGTGTAGCTTCGTCTTCAAAAAACACTGAGTTCTCAGGATGTGCAAGACACAGTCTCCCGTTCTGAAGTTCTCTCAGGACCTTGGGATATAATTGATAAGGCTTAGACCCCTAACTTCATTTCTTGCTATCTCGGGCTTTAATAACCTCCTAATAGTCATTTGTATTTCTCTTTTAAAGCTGAATTACTGGACTAAGAGACATTTATTGAACACCTAATATAGGCAGGCATTGGCTGAGCTCTGGGAACAGCAGTGAACAGAGAGGCCCAAATCCATCCCTCTTCCATGGAGTTTATAGTCAGGTGGTCCCACCTGGTCTCCTCATCCAGGAAGGGGAGGTGGGCAGAGGCTGAGTAGCTCTGCCTGTGTGCCCGGTGTACCTGCTCAGGTACTCAACACGCATTATCTCAATTCTTATGTAAATGATGTAGATGGGACTTGCCACTTCATCCTATAAAAAAGAGAAACTTTTAAACTATTGATTTAAAAGCCACTTTTCCTCTGTGAATTTAAAAGTGGTTTTAATTTTTTAAAAATTAATAATGAAGCTTTTACTTCCATGGATCAAGAAAAGAGATTGAAGATGTGAAGTCCCAGCAAAAAGAATCTGGAAAGGTCACCTAGTTTTTTGCCAACTTTACCTTCATGCCTTTGTAACAGTAGTTTCATTGTAGTTATGTACTAGTCCTTTTGTTTTGCCTATTTGTTTGTTTCTTTATTCACATTTTTTCTCTTCAGAGGCACCATTATAAACATACCACACTTTATGGTAAGAAAATCTACCACAGACAGTTTGAATCCTGTACTTTACCTGTGAGCAGGGGTTCCTCCTGCCTCCTGAGAGCCATTGGCTGCAGTGGCCCTGAAGCCACTTGGTTGAGCTAACAACTGATGTTATAATCCTGTTGTTCATGTAGCTGAACGCCTAACCAATTTTTTAATTTCTCAAGATATTAGGATATTCTTTTCTGGTCTGACTGTACATTTTGGCAGTAAATTACTTTTTAAAAAATCTTTCTTTGGGCTTCCCTGGTGGTGCAGTGGTTGGGAGTCCGCCTGCCGATGCAGGCGACGCGGGTTCGTGCCCCGGTCCGGGAGGATCCCACGTGCTGCGGAGCGGCTGGGCCCGAGGGCCATGGCCGCTGGGCCTGTGTGCCCGGACCCTGTGCTCCGCAGCGCGAGAGGCCACAACAGCGAGAGGCCCGCGTACCGCAAAAAAAAAAAAAAAAAAAATCTTTCTTTCAGACTCTGATATCATTTCTTAGAATCACATAGCTTTAAATTGGCACTAAGACATTCTCTTAGAAAACTAAGTTGACCTCATTTTTCTAATTGCATTTTTATCAAGACAGAGAATATCACACTTTTCTTAGAATCTTGAATGCTGAAAAATACAGCTGTGGTCCTTGGAAACTCTGAAAAAACATAAGTTTTATGATTCTGATCATGGAAAGATAAATGTTTTGATCTTCTCAAAAGCTTCCTAAAATTTTGTGCATCAAGCAACCACAAATATTTCATAATCTCAACTTTTAAATAGAAAGCCCGTATTGTTGAATTTCTGAAAAATCTTCACAGCTTAAAAAAATTCCGAGACACATAACTAATAGAATCTTTAAAGCACTGACTTCTGGTGGTGGATTTTTTTTTTAGGTATTGTCACAGAGCTGAGAATGTTTAAATTTATTTGCTTCTTTTGATTTAGGGTATAAATTGTGATAATTGTTCCTTCCTACCCTCGGCCTTGACAACTGTTAATTGTGCTGTATACTAATTTATTTTTACAGCTTTTTTCCCTATTGAGTAGCTGTGTTTAGTGTTTGTCTTATTTACTGTGTACATATAGATATTCAATAATATATCCATCATGTACACGTATGTTGCTAAATGTAGCTATATAGAAGAAACTATATGGGGTCTGGATAATTAAGTGATCGTGAAGTGATACCTGTAATGAAAGAGGGCCCGAAAAAGTGACCCAATTTTTATTGGGGCTGCTGTGTATCTCCAGGAAGAAGAGGAGGGTTCAGAAGACGATAGCGGCACAAAGCCAGAGTTCACCGTCACCCTGAAGACCGATTTCAGTGCACGTTGCTTTCTGGACCAATTTGAAGATGTCACTGACGGCTTTATTTCCCCGATGGATGATAAAATGCCATCAAAATGCAGCCAGGATACCGGACTTTCAAATCTCCATGCTGCTTCGATGTATGTTGTTTCGGTGGTGGTATTGGAATGTTGTGATGAAAATAATTTTCTGAAATATTATTTTAGCCTTTGTACTTAAATTGGCTGCCAAAACGTAAGTGACTTGCCTAGGGTGCATCTATGTGGATAAAACAGGGTTTGCTTGTTTGTTTAACTTCTGGCTCAGTGTTTCTATATGCTTCATCCCGTGTTATCTGAGGGAGCATCTGAGATCTTGCTTAAACAATCGCAAGGTCTCTGTAATGGCACTGTGTGGTTCTGTGCGCCACAGCTCGCCATTTAATACATACCGAGCACAGATGTCATCTCTTTCTTTCTAAGCAAAATATGACAAAGCGCCATGGGAGTTTACAAGCCTGAGGAATTCATAAGTAGCAGGAGCCTCGCAGGAGCCCCAGAAGCCGTATCTATCGTCAGTGTGCTTTGGCTTCCAGGGGATGGAAAACATCCATTTCTGGTGACCCTCAGCTCCTTGCACAGTTCCTGCATTTATATGCTTTTCCCTTTCTCCACAACTCCTATCGAGTTGCACATTCCTTACGTTTACAACTATTCAGATTTAACTCAATTTTCTTGAAATACTTCTGCCCCTCTTAGACCAGAACTCTTGGAACACCTTCAGGAAATGAGAGAAGAAAAGAAAAGGGTTCGAAAGAAGCTTCGTGATTTTGAAGACAATTTTTTCAGACAAAATGGAAGGTAAGTGCGTGTGCTGTCCTTCCCCTCCCCCACCTCACACACAGCCCTCTTTTTTCTGTGTCACATCTGTGCAAAGCCTCCCATGTGGGAGCCACCCTACAGCTTTCCTGTAACCTGGCCCTTGGTTTTGTGCCCAGGGCCCCTTTGAGGCTTACTGGAAATGGGGAGGTTTGTGTGGCCCTTCAGGAAGAAGTGCTCCTTGGATGATATCCAAGACCGATACAGATTCAGCTAACATTTACAAAACTCACCTGTCATATCAAATTCTAATCGAAAATGAGCAGCTTAAAGCTGTTTCTAGTGGGCAGCACTGGTTTAGATTTCTGTTTTTGTTTTTTTAATCTTAATAAACTTGAAGGAGAAATAAGGAAAGGGGCACTCTAGGTCTTGCTGGTTTGTAGGCTCATTTTAAAAGCAGAGTTGTCAAGTCAAATGAGAAATACACAAGAAACAAGAAGCCCTCCTGACTGATAGAGTGCCTTTCACCAGTGAAGTTTTTTTTTTTTTAAATACATTTTATCACCTAACATTCTTTTTATTTTCTTTATAAATTTTATTTATTTTTGGCTGCGTTGGTTCTTCGTTGCTGCGTGGGGGCTTCTCATTGCGGTGGCTTCTCTTGTTGCGGAGCACAGGCTCTAGGCGCACGGGCTTCAGTAGTTGTGGCTCGCAGGCTCTAGAGCGCAGGCTCAGTAGTTGGGGCGCACGGGCTTAGCTGCTCCGCGGCACGTGGGATCTTCCCGGACCAGGGCTCAAACCCATGTCCCCTGCATTGGCAGGCGGATTCTTAACCACTGCGCCACCAGGGAAGCCCCCGTCAGTGAGTTTTAAGACTGTAGTCATCATCATAGAGCTCTATGCTGAGGGATAGTCTCCCCTGTTAGCAAGTGACCACACACAGAATGTCCGACTCAAGTCACAGCATGAGACCAGATTAGAGCAGGGAATAGAGCTCCATCTCTCACATTGGAGTTAAGTTTTATCATTTTAAAATGTTTTAATCTAAATTATTTAAACGGTGTAAATACAGTTTCTCTTTAAGTCTCCTTTCATACTTCTCAAAAGTATTGGGAAATAAAAGTACCATAAAGAGTAACTTAGGCATTAAAAATGTACTATATTTCAGTTTATTTCAATTATTGTATAAATTTATTTGGGGGATCTCTGATTCGGATCCGTCCTATAATGACTTTCTCAAGATTTATGTTTTGTTTTGTTTTTTGCGGTACGCGGGCCTCTCACCGTTGTGGCCTCTCCCGTTGCGGAGCACAGGCTCCGGACGCGCAGGCTCAGCGGCCATGGCTCACGGGCCCAGCCGCTCCGCAGCACGTGGGATCTTCCCGGACCAGGTCACGAACCTGCGTCCCCTGCACACTGCGCCACCAGGGAAGCCCAAGATTTATGAATTTTTATACCTAAGTATTTGTTTTTCTTTCTCCATGAACTGTAGGATATTTAGAAAATATAGGTAAAAGAAATAATAATACCCAAAGACAAACCAAAGGATTAATGTTTTGATGTGTTTCATTCCAGTCTTCTTCCCAAACATATTTTTGCTTTGTCTGCTCATTTTTTTTCCCATTTGTTTATAGTCACATTATGCACAGATATCCTATAATTATGTAACCTTCACAAGTTTTAAGAAAATACAATTGATGGGAATCAGTAATCATCATACAAGTTTAGAACTCCCAGGGACTTCAGATTTCACAGAATCTGGTTCCATCACTTCGTCCATGAGGCAAGTGAAGACCCTCAAAGGCACGTCTGGGGCCAGGGTCAGATGCCCCCTTCCCTGCCGCCTCCTGGGAGCATCCAGGGTCCTTTCCTTGAGCAGGCAAAGGAGGAATAAAATCAGTTCATTGAGCAAAATTAACTGAGCCCCAAGCTGTCCCATTTCCCATTTTTGCACTTTAATAAGGAGTAAAGGAAGCCTGGTATTTGAATGTCTGACATGTGCGTTTCCAAGTGAGATGAGAAGCAGGGCAGTACCGGTTGAGGATGCGGGTAACGGCGGCATTTCGTCAGGTTCTCCTGCGGGTTGTATTAGATCATGGATTCAGAGTACTTAGCACGGTGCTCAGCCTATAATCAGCTCTCAAGTATAATACTTGTGCACATAAAAAGTATACATGTAAAATTACTCAGTAAACTATAAAGGTCTATTAGTATTCTGTGATCCAGTTGCTGAGTTCCAAGACATTTTTATAGTAAGTAGGAGTATTAACTATTTTTTTTAAACCCTGTAAATTATGGGTGTACCAGTCACTAATCAGAAATGTAATGGATCATTAGGTGAAGTATATAAAAGTGAGAAAGCACTAAGTGTAAGTAAAGGATTCAGTGTATGGAGACTTGCAGCAGCAGCAGAGAGAGAAAGTTTCTACATTTCTTAGTCTTTCCCATCATTCTTCAAGATGCCAGATTAACTCTGAAACTCAGTTGCATGGTGCCTTCTGGGGACACTGTCTTTCACTGCTTGTCTAAACCCAGCTCCAGTCTTGATACCAAGTGATGCTTGGCAACACTGATTCTATGGGGTGATCAACTGCACATTTCCACGTGATGATCCTTCACCTGAGGAACAGTATCCTCTAGAAGAGACAGCACATGATCACCAGCCCCTTTTCCCTTTGTTTCCGTCAGAAACGTCCAGAAGGAAGACCGCACCTCTATGGCTGAAGAATACAACGAATACAAGCACATCAAGGCAAAACTGAGGCTCCTGGAGGTGCTTATCAGCAAGAGAGACACTGATTCCAAGTCCGTGTGAGAAGGCAGCCCTACCCGAGCCAAGGGGGCTGGGGATGCAGGGTGAATGTGCCCCCCACCTCCCCTGGCAGATAGCAGCTCTGCAGAAACTGGAAGGCAGCCTTGGAGCTGGACCTACAAAGAGAGTAGCTCTTCTGCCTCTGGGCCACTGGGATCGTCTCCAGTTTCCACTGCCTGCCTTGGACACCGCCTAGATGGAAAGAGCCCACCTGCCCTCATGTAGGAGTTGTGTAAGGGAAAGTCGAGATCTCCGTGCACCCGAGCGCTCACAGACACACACAGACGCTGTAGCGGAAGCTTCGCTGACAACTGGCAGCGACGAATCACTACACTGAGACACAGTCACCTACAGAGGATACGCACTGTTCTTCTCTGGACAACTGAGAAGCAGCCTGTTCTCTGTCGGACTGTGACAGAAACAAGCTCAGGACTTCACTCTGGAGAGCGAACTTGCTGTGCACATTCTGTGCAGGTGCCCAAGAGAGCACGGGCTGTCTTTGGACCCAGTCAAGTGGGAACCTGCATTGGAGCCCTATTTGCTGCCTCGACCGTCCTTGTGACCTTTCCACAGAGCTGCGCCTTTCCCCACTCGTGTGAATCGCTTCCCCTTTAGCTCTCAGGTGGATGGAAGCCGCGTCTGCCCAGAATGGCCGTGCAGTCCTCTATTTGACCGTGTGTTTCTTCACGACGTGCCCAGCTGATAGAGAACTGTGATCCCTGACTAGGGCTGGACCATCTGCAGAGGACAGAGGGGATAGAGAAGTAGCTAATATTTGTGCTGATTTTTAAATTAGGCAGCGGTGAAGAGCCTGGAGAATCCTTTCCTGAACGTTGACTGCACTTATTAGCCTCAGATTTTAACATCAAACACTGAGCGAGGCCAGCAGCCTATTTGGGGTTTGGTTTTGTTTTGGCTCTAGCCGAACAAAAGGGTCTTGCTTAATTCTTAGCTTGAGTGTAGAGGATCGTGAGAGAGAAGGAGCCTCCTGAGTACTTACCAGAGTTTTCATTTTTTTTTCATTTTTTTTAAGTAAACCTGCACTAAAAATCTCCTGAAGGGTAAGTATAGCCCTGAGAGCTCAGCCTAAGACAGAATCTAAATCACACTGTTTTCAAGATCGTGTATAAAGAGAAAAAAAATAATGGTGTATAGCCAGTGATGATTATCATTTTTTCAAAGACGGTGTCACAAAACTGTCTATGTTAGACATTTTGGAGGGACCAGGGAATTGAAGACACCAAATCATTCATCTCTCCAGTGTGCCGATGTTATCTTGTGATTTGTTGTTACTTTTTGACTTTCTGTGTTTGCGCTGAGGAAAGTGGGTCCTGGTGCCGCCTGCCCATCCTGGCCCACGTTTCTGCTCTGTGAGGTTGAGCACAGGTGTCTGCCCACCAGCCGCTGGTTGCCAAGAGAAGGTGTTTCAGCAGGCTCTGCCTTTTGAAGATAATGTTGCGGGATGAACAGGACAGCAAAGGGTACCATTTTGTTTTCTTTAATAATAACAACAAGGATAAAACTCCTTCCTGATCAGTTGTCAGTTTCCAAAATGGGTTCTTGAGAAACTGTCTGGTCAAATTGGATTTGTAGCAGCATTTTCCATTGTTGAGGTGAAGTAGCAGCTCTCTGTCGGTTGAAAATCGTTGAAGTCAGGAGTAGGGGAAAAAGAATACGTTTAAATTTGCTCTTAAAAATAATCATCCAAAAGCATGAGCTATATGTTGAAAGTGCCCTGGTTGAATCCACGTACTTAAAGACGGTACATAATCCTGCAATATAGATATAGCTTGGTATTCTTTGCCTTACTGTTTACATTGCAGATTGCTATAATTTCAAGGAGTTATATTATAAATAAAATGATGCACTTTAGGACGTTTCTATTTTTGAAATCTGAAGATGAATCATTCACATGACCAAAAATTGTATTTTTTAAAAGAAATACATGTCTAGTTCGTCCTTTTTAAGTAATCTCTTACATAAGCTATAATGTAAATCACATCATTACCAGTTAACTTTCAAAGCACATCTGTCTAAGAGTATTGTTTTGAAAATACTAATATGCTATAGAACTTTAAAAGAGAAAAAGTTATATAAATGAGAAGCTACTAAATGTTTTGAAATCTCTTGTTTCTGCCAAAGGTAAATTAAGTAAAAGATTGATTCAGGAATCCCCATTCAAATTTGTATGATTGAATAAAAGACGACAGCAAGTTATAGTAAAATGTGTATGGAATGTCATGTTTTCCTTTGTAATTTATAATAATATACTTCCTAGAATGGTGCCCAAATTAAGGGAGGGAAGCCCTGTTTACAGGAGATTCTATCTGAAGACAGGTTAGTCCATAGGTTCTGGCTCTGCCAGAAATGCTGAGGTAAATTTGTTTCCATAGCAACCATTTTTTGCAGCCCAGAGTCTCAAGGCCCTAGAGGCAGTGTCTTAATTGGCTTAACACAGAATACTCCGGACTGCGGTTTTTCCTTTGCTCTGTGGGGAATGTGTGTGTGTTTGAGCACGTGCCAACAAAATAAATGTCAAGGGTTATGTAATAACAATGATAAGTAGAAGCAAAGCATGAATAAACTTGGCCGTGCGCTTGTGAGAATCAGAGATAGCAGAGGCTTGTAATTTCCCAAGCATTTGCTCTTTATTGTGTTTTAGCCTGGAGCAAGCCTTGAAATAGATATTTATATTAAGTATGTTATCATTACTGCATTTCATCTTTGAAGCGTTGAGTTCGTATTTTCCTTTTTAGACAGGTATGTGCGAGGTTTAGGATAAGGGCCCGCTGAGAAGTTTTTCAGGACAGCCGAAGTTTGTCTTGGTGCTGGTAGAAGGAAGTCTGCACAATCTCAGTGATCTCCGATTCAGGGAAAAGTCCCATGAAAGAACACATCACATTTCAGGCTGGAGAACTATTTTTTTTAATTGCTAGCTATAATTTATTGTGAGCTAATAAGTAGATGGCTTTTGTTGCTGGTTTGAAGTCAAAAGGTTATTATTCATTGGCAAGGCAGGGATCAGCAATGCCTCTATATACAACATCAGTGTGATTTTTGCTTTCTCTCATCCTGATGCAACACTTGCGTGGTGGCAGAAGAGCCTGTTATAGGGTGTGCCTGCTCCCAGGTGTGTCATTTCTAGCCCAGGACAAGTGCCTCAGGGTTGTGCCTTGTGCTTAGAATTCCTTATAAGGTGACTGTTAAGTTTATTATCAGAATCAAAGGGCAGCCATGGTGCCAGTTAAGTTGGTTCCTTCTGGGACTGCCTAATTCTCAGTAGACAGAATTGAGCCCTGTATCCAGAACTGATCACAGATTTATAAGGAAAATCAAAATTTAAAGTTTGTTGATGAATTTTTTAAGAGATTCTTAATCTGATCATGAAGATGCCATCTTTCTTAAGGGTATATTTCTTAAGGCTGTATACCTCACTACCTTTGATGGTATATTTATAGCTGAACGCCATCATCTCTTTTAACTGCCTTGTGAAAATCTGGTTGTAGTCTAAATTGGTTTTGCTTTCAAGACGGGTCTTCCTGACACACTGCATCCTCGGGGGGGGGGGGGTTTCTCCCGAGGTGGGGAGAGGTAGTTTCTGCACCCAGGTCAGCACCTCTGTGGTATTCTTTCCTAGTATCCACTTGGTTAAACCGATAGGGAGGGACAAAACTGGGCTAAAACGTTAAAGCAGTGTTTCCTCGGAAGGCCGTGGGTTTAGCAGAAGCCGGAGTGTGCTTGCTTTTTCTTTGATTAATTCCCTTCTGTTATTTTTTTTTCCCCACCTGACCCTCAAAATCTACTGAAGGGTACATTTTGTCAAAAGATAGGCTAAACATGTGTTCAAATCTGTAGGTACTGAACTTGTGCATACTGGCACTTCTTCACAGGGCAGCTGACACAGCAAGCTCCAAGAGATGGTGATCTACGTGTCAGCCGCTGCACCGTGGCATCAGCCACTTTCCAGAGTAGAGATCGCGCCCTTGGGGCATCCACACTCTTCCACCGTGATCCCTCATAACAGATGTATGTGGATAAGCTGAGGTCAATTGCAGGTACACACAGATGTGTATTAAAATGAAATCTATACATCTACATATTGCTATGAAAGTGCAGGTATGTCTCTAGAGGATCTCATTTTGTCTGGAATCCAGCCAGTCGTGGCCACGTGCGCAGCTTGAGAAATCGATTCGGCAGATCTCGCTCTCAGTCTGAAAGCACCTATACAATCATGAAAATCTCCGAGTGGATGCAGTTTTAGTAAATAACATGGGCCCAGAACAATGTTTACATGACATGTAAGCAGAAAGTATTTGAAATTAGTTGTTCCTTTTTTAAAATGTAAACTGAATGAAAATATGTTATGTACATTTTTGTACATGGCTGTATTTTGTATGAACATAAATAAAATATTTTTAATTGTGAATGTCCTGAATTTTTTGACAGTGTCAGGAACGTGTGACTGAACCCTCTGTGGGGTCTGACCTTTCACTATGTAAGGGATCACGCTGCTCCCCTGAGCTCCTCAGAAGCCTCCTGGGGATTGAGATTTGTTATTCTGTCTCCAGGGAGGGCAGTGGAAGGTGAAGCAAACTGGGTGCAAGCTAGACATGCCCGTGATGGGCAGTAGGAAAACAGGCTTGTGCTCTCTGCTCGGCTGCCTTTGAAGCAATTAATGGAAGGGGCTGGAGGGGTGCAGAAAGAAAGGCATTAAGAAAAACAACTGTTTAAGTACATTTCCAAAGTCTCGGAGGCCATCACAGGCAAATACGTGAACCACTCACTACTCTGAAGCTAATGAGGCCACCAGAAAACTGTGACACGGAAGAAAAGGCACGTTGCGGTTGTGTGAGGTGAGTAGCTCGTGGTCGGTGGAGGTTAGGCCCACAGGTGTTCTTTAAGCTGCATGCGTTACAGACGCCTGACTGAAGTGACTCAAGTACACATTCAGAGTATACTAAACATGAAATTTAAAAAAAAAGAATTAAGGCTTGGAGCAAGGACCCTGTCCCAGTACTGATACCAGGATTTGAATTAAGATGTCTGACTTCGGAGCATGAAGACGCAGCACTGCTGACGGCACAATGGCCTGGCGTTCTGTCAGAACTGAAGCTCGGGCTTCCCTGGTGGCGCAGTGGCTGAGAATCTGCCTACCAATGCAGGGGACATGGGTTTGAGCCCTGGTCCAGGGAGATCCCACATGCCGCGGAGCAACAAAGCCCACGCGCCACAACTACTGAGCCTGCGATCTGGAGCCGCGAGCCACAACTACTGCGCCTGTGAGCCGCAACTACTGAGCCTGTGATCTGGAGCCGCGAGCCACAACTACTGAGCCCGCGAGCCGCAACTACTGAGCCTGCGTGCTGCAGCTACTGAGGCCCACGCGCCTAGAGCCTGTGCTTCGCAACGGGAGGCGCCACTGCAGTGAGAAGCCCACGTGCCACAGGGAAGAGTAGCCCCTGCTTGCAGTAACTGGAGAAAAGCCAGCGTGCAGCAACGAGGACCCAACACAGCCAAAAATAAAATAAATGGAATAAATAAATTTAAATAAAACGCTGAAGCTCGCCTGAGTAACTTACTTTTTGAAACACTGGGTCCAGAGTAATAAAACTGAGGCAGAAGTGGCAAGCAGTATATAGTGACCCTTCATTTTCTTAAGTCCTGTTTTGCTGTCACCCCTCTGAGTGACCAGAAGGTGATGCTGGCCCAAGTACACCAGCTTCTACAGCCTGTTTAAAAGCCTGATGGCCCTCCAGACGGCCTCCCCGACTCCCCTGGAAATGTTTTTGCTCCTACTCTATCAGTTTGCAGCACTATGGACGAACTGAATGGGAATTTCAGAACAGGGACCGACTGGGGGAGGTTGGGAGAGAAGGACAGTCCTCGTCACTCCTTTCAATGGCCTCATTATTACCCCCTCTAGAAATGGATTCTGAATCTTGTCAGACAAAATGTATCAGGGTTATCCCTAAGCTGGGTCAGCTTATCAAGGCTATAAATACACAGTTGGATTTCATATTCAGTAAAAGCTGAAAGTAGAAATTCCCAAATGCATTTTCAGAATGCTGGCTGGCAGGCCGACAAGTGGGGTTTGGCAGGAGCTGGGCTTGTGGACAGCTTGCTTCTCACTGCTCCTCTCCATCAACAAGGCTTGCACCACAGGGTGGATCCGAGTTGTGCACCATCTTCTGGGGAACGCGGCCCGGTGCAAAACGCAAGAACCAAATCCGAGCCCTCTGGGCTTCCATGTCTCAGCTGAGCCTTTGTGTGTATAAATCATATGTTACTGTGAATTCTGAAACTCATATCTTCCACACGTTTGAATCTTCCTTTAATTTCTCAAAAGCAATTCAGAGATGCTGAGAAATCCTTGTCGTGCTTCTGGTTCTGCAGCGCTGAGTACTTCTTGGTAAGATATTTTGAGATAGTTATTTTTCTGTAACTGTTACTTTTTTTAACTGAAGTATAGTTGATTTATAATGTTTTAGGTGTATAGCAAAGTGATTCAGTTTTTTATATATATATATATATATACACACTTTTTCAGATTTCCATTATAGGTTATTACAAGATATTGAATATAGTTCCCTGTGTAGATAGTAGGTCCTTGTTTATCTATTTTACTTTTTTCTTAATATTTTTTTATAAATTCATTTATTTTTGGCTGTGTTGGGTCTTCGTTGCTGTGTGTGGGCTTTGTCTAGTTGTGGTGAGCGGGGGCTACTCTTCGTTGCCGTGTGCGGCCTTCTCATCGCGGTGGCTTCTCTTGTTGCAGAGCACGGGCTCTAGGCATGCAGGCTTCAGTAGTTGTGGCACGTGTGCTCAGTAGCTGTGGTTTGCGGGCTCTAGAGTGCAGGCTCAGTAGTTGTGACGCACGGGCTTAGTTGCTCCGCGACATGTGGGATCTTCCCGGACCAGGGCTTGAGCCCGTGTGCCCTGCATCGGCAGGCGGACCCTCAACCACTGCGCCACCAGGGAAGCCCTCAGGCTGTATTTTTAAACAACTAAAAATGAAGCGTACCCCAGGGAGAAGAGCTGCTCTGATTTCGGCAAGCCCCTCATTAGCATCCTATGTTTCACCAAGCCTGTGGACAAGGCTGAGACCGGGAGGGGGCCTGGGGTCATCCTCCACTCCCTCATCAGCGCCAGGGGGGCAAAGTCGGGGTGCCACTGCTCGGGCCAGCAGCAGAGCAAGCTTTGGGTTCAAATGACCTTCCACTCTCATTGAATGAGGCCCTGCCCCCCATTACCTCATAAATTCAGCAACTCCCTGTCTCTTCTCCGAACAGTCTGCCAAACTTGAACTTGAGAGCCCCTGAGTCTGCTACACCAGCATCTGAGCTCCTGGGAGAGCCCAGGCACAAAAGGTCAGGAGACACGTTTTTAACAAGAAGCCTTTGGCAGTGGCAGGCCGGTCCCTGTGGGACCACGAGCCAGTACCTAGTTGGCACTTGCTATTGACCTTTGCTCTCAGGAGCCCCGGGCCTCTTATGATGCGGTAGGCATTGGGGTTATTTCCAATTCTGCTCTTTGGCTTTCTTTTTCTCCTAATCCTAAAAAAAAGGTGACCGTGAAACTAACCTGGTTTAGAGTTTCCCTTCACCTGAGGAGTGTATGTGTGTGAGTTTTAGATCTTATTTAATTTCTCAGGAAGTTCAACACCAATGGGAACTGAATCAGTAGTAACCAGAGATTGTATCCAGTTCCCCCGGGGTTAGGCCCAGGGAAATCAGCTTTTAAAAGATCTGAAGACCATAGTATGATTGTGTACCCTGCTAAGCATCCAGCCACTCTTGGAAGAAAAAAAAATGCTGACATCTGAACTAATTTTCTCCATGCCACACGTAACTCAGGAATACACACTCCGTTACTTTTAGAAGGAAATAAAACACTAAAGCCTGGATCAGCTAATCCGTGGGAGAGGCTGTTATTAATACAGATGCAGAGAATCTGCCCACAATGGGGTGGACACTTCCTCCAGCACCTATTCTGTTGCATATCCCTGTTTCTCACTCCACGAGGGAGGTTAACCAATCCCTCCTTACCTGGGTTGGAAAGGCGTGGTGGTAGCTTCTGTGTCACATCCAACTGGAGAATTTCCTTGATCTAATCTGCAGGAGAGTTTTCACCTCTTCTGAAGACATGAGGACCTACTGTCTTATCACAAGCTCCTCCTCAGCTTTGTGAGATACTGTTCCCCAAGATAAGTCTGCAGGTGGAGGCTGCCAATGCGCCTATCAGTGCTCCAAGAAGGCATCTCTTAAAAGTGAAGACATTCACAAACCAGAAGACTCGTAACTCAAGCAACCCCAGCTAAGTAGTACGAAGGCAACATGGGCATCATGTTCTTAGATATTCTAGAGACTTAACAAATGTTTTAAAATATGCTTGGCTCCATTTTTAAGAGCCAAAGAAAACTGGAGACAACCAACACTTACATTTCTTTTTGAGAGGAAATGATAAAATTCTGCATATTAGCCTTGATTTTATATACTTCCTCTTCTGTGCTTGACCCTAACACAAAACATTCTGTTCATTGGGCTGCACCTCAAATCTGTTTTGGCGTTCTGTTGTATGCCCTCCTTCATTCCACCTTTCTCTCCATCATCCAGTTAACAGTGATTTGGCTGTTTTCTCCTTTATTTTTTCCGGTTTTATTGAGATATGATTGACATGTAACATTGTGTAAGTCTAAGGTGTACAACAGGTTGATTTGAACCACTGATATATTGTAAAGCGATTACCATCATAGCATTAGCTAACGCCTCCATCATATTACATAATGACCATTCTTTGTTGTAGTTAGAACATGTAAGATCTACTCTCTTAGCAACATTCAAGTATATAGTACAGTATTACTAACTATAATCACCATGCTGTTAATGAGATGCCCAGAATGTATTCACCTTATCACTGGAAGTTTGTATCCTTTGACCAACATCTCCCCGTTTTCCCCACTCCCCAGCCCCTGGTAACTACCATTCTACTCTGTTTCTATGAGTTAGGCTTTTTAGATTTCACATATAAGTGAGATCATACAGTATTGGTCTTTCTCTGACTTAATTAGCATAATACTTTCAAGGTCCATCCATGTTGTCACAAATAGCAAGATTTCCTTCTTTCTGATAATATTCCATGGTATATATACACCACAATTTTTTTATCCATTCATCCTTTGACAGACCCGTTGTTTCCATATCTTGGCTATTGTAAATAATGCTTCAATGAACATGGGGGTGCAGACATCTCCTCAAGATCCTGTTTATATTTCCTTTGGATATATATATATATGCCCAGAAGTGGGCTTGCTGGATCGTACGATAGTTCTATTTTTATTTTTTTTAAGGAACCTTCATAATGTTTTCCATAGTGGCTATACCAGTTTACATTCCTACCAACAATGCACGAGGGTTCCCTTTTCTCCACATCTTCACCAACACTTATCTTTTGTCTTTTTGACAATAGCCATTTTGACAGGTGTGAGATGAATAGCTCCTTGTGGTTTTGATTTGCATTTCCCTGGTGTTTAGTGATGCCGAGTACCTCTTCATGTACCTGTTGGCCATTTGTATGTCTTAGTTGAAAATGTATTTATTGAGTTCTCCTGCCTATTTTAAAATCAAATTGGTTATTTTTGCTGTTGAGTTGTATGAGTTATTTACATATTTTGGATATTAACTCCTTATCAGATATATGGTTTGCAAATATTTTCTTCCATTCCATAGTTTGCATTTTTTATTTGTTGGTTGTTTCTTTTGTTGTGCAGAAGCTGTTTTAGTTCGATATAATCCCACTTATCAAGTCTTGTCTTTGTTGCTAGAGCTTTTGGTGTTAAATCCAAAAATCATCACAAAGACCAATGTCAGGAAGCCTTTTCCCTGTGTTTTCTTCTAGGAGTTTTAGTTTCAGGTCCTGTGTTTAAGTCTTTATCTTGAGTTAATTTTTGTGAATAGTGTAAGATAGGGGTCCAATTTCATTCTGCATTTGACTATCCAGTTTTACCAACATCATACATTCATTCATTCATGTATTTATTTTTTTTACATCATTTATTAAAGAGGCTATTCTTTCCCCATAGAGTATTCTTGGCTTCCTGTCAAATATCAGTTAACCATATATGCAAAGGTTTATTTCTAGGCTCTTGATTCTGTTCCATTGGTCTATTTGTTCTTTTTTATGCCAGTACCCATACTATGTTAATTGCTATAGCTTTGTAGTATAGCTTGAAATAGTTATTACTATAGCTATAGTAGTATACTTTGAAACAGGAAGTGTGATGCCTCCAATTTATACTTTTTTCTCACGATTGCCTTGGCTATTTGGGATCTTTTGTGGTTCCATACAGATTTTAAAATTATTTGTTCTATTTCTGTGAAAAATGCCATTGGGATTTTGATAGGGATCACACTGAATCTATAGATGGCTTTGGGTAGTATGGATATCTTCACAATATTAACTCTTCTGATTCATGAACATAGGATCTCTTTCCATTTCTTTGTGTCTTCTTCAATTATTTTTTTTTGCCAAAGTCTTGTAGTTTACAGTGTACAGATCTTTCACCTCCTTGGTTAAATTTATTCCTAAATATTGTATTGTTTTTGATGTTATTATTAAAGGGATTTTCTTTTTCAGATATTTCATTGTTAGTATATAGAAACACAACTGATTCCTATATGTTGATTTTGTGTCCTATAATATTACTGAATTCCTCGATTAGTTCTAGCTTTTCTTGGTGCAGTCATTAGGATTTTTTATGTATAAGATCATATCACCTGCAAACAATGACAGTTTTACTTCTTCCTTTCTGATTTAGATGTCTTTTTTTCCTTGCCTGATTTCTCTGGTTAGGATTTCCAGTACCGTGTTGAATAGGAGTGAGAATGGTCACCCTTAACCGGTTCCTGATCTTAAAGGAAAAACTTTCAATTTTTGAACATTGGGTATAATGTTAGCTGTGGACTTATATGTTATGTTGAGGTATGTTCCTTCTGTTCCCAATTTGTTGAGAGTTTTTTATCATGAAAGGATGTTGTCGTTTGTCAAATGCTTTTCTTGCATCTACTGAAAGGATCATATGAGTTTATCTTTCCTTCTATTGAGATGTATCACATTTATTGATTTGCATACATTGAATCATTCTTGCATTCCAGGAATAAACCCTGCTTGACCATGGTGTATGACTGTTTTAATGTACTATTGAATTGAGTTTGCAAATACTGTGTTGAGAATTTTTGCATTTATATTCCTCAGGGACATTGGTCTGTAGTTATCTTTCCTTGTAGTGTCCTTATCTGGCTTTGGTACCAAGGTTATGCTACCCTCATAAAAATGAGTTTTGGAGTGTTCCCTGTTTGAAAAGGATTGACATTAATTCTTCTTTAAATGTTTGGGAGAAGTCACTGGTGAAACCATCTGGTCTATGGTTTTCTTATTGGGAGGTTTTTGATTATTGATTCAATCTCCTTCCTCTACTAGTTTGGATTTTCTATTTTTTCATGATTCAAAGTTTTGGGTTTTTTTAATTGATGGACATTTGAAGTTTTTTTTTAAGATTCTTTTTGATGTGGACCATTTTTTTAAGTCTTTATTGAATTTGTTACAATGTTGCTTCTGTTTTATGGTTTGTTGGTTTTTTCTGGCCACGAGGCATGTGGGATCTTAGCTCCCCAACCAGGGGTTGGACCCACAGCCCCTGCATTCAAAGGCAAAGTCTTAACCATTGGACCACCAGGGAAGCCCCATGAAGTTTTTGGGTTTTTTTCACACACAGCCTGGGCTTTATTGGGTATTAGTGAGCATGATTTCAAAAACATGCTTTTTAAGTGTGGTTATGAGGACAGTAAGTTTTAAAGGACTTAAACTATTCTTATAAAATATATCATCTGCTCATCTTCTGGCCAAATTTTCTCTAAATGATTCAGTTGATTTTTTTTTTTATACCGCTGACTTCTACATCTCATTTAAAAAAAAATTTTGTTGGAGTATAGTTGATTTACAATATTGTGTTAGTTTCAGGTGTACAGCAAAGTGAATCAGTTATACATATACATCTATCCATTCTTTTTTTAGATCTTTTTCCTATATAGGTCATTACAGAGTACTGAGTATTGAATAGAGTTCCCTCGGCTATACAGTAGGTTATTAGTTATCTATTTTATATATAGTAGCGTGTATATATCAATCCCAATCTCCCAATTTATCCCTCCCCTCTCTTATCCCCTGATAACCATGTTTGTTTTGTACATCTGTGACTCTACTTGTTTTGTAAATAAGTTCATTTGTACCGTTTTTTTAGATTCCACATATAAGCAATAGCATATGATATGTCTGACTTACTTCACTCACTATGACAATCTCTAGGTCCATCCATGTTGCTGCAAATGGAATTATTTTGTTCTTTTTTATGGCTGAGTAATATCCCATTGTATATATGTACCACATCTTCTTTATCCATTCCTCTGTCGATGGACATTTAGGTTGCTTCCATGTCCTGGCTATTGTAAATAGTGCTGCAGTGAACATTGGGGTGCATGTATCTTTTCGAATTATGGTTTTCTCTGGGTATATGCCTAGGAGTGGGATTGCTGGGTCATATGGTAGTTGTATTTTTAATTTTTTAAGGAATCTCCATACTGTTCTCCATAGTGGCTGTACCAATTTACATTCCCACCAGCAGTGTAGGAGGGTTTCCTTTTCTCCACACCCTCTCCAGCATTTATTGATTGTAGATTTTTTGATGATGGCCAGTCTGACCGGTGTGAGGTGACACCTCATTGTAGTTTTGATTTGCATTTCTCTGATAATTAGTGATGAGCATCTTTTCATGTACATCTGTATGTCTTCTTTGGAGAAACGTCTGTTTAGATCTTCTGCCCATTTTTTGACTGATTTGTTTTTTTGATATTGAGCTTCATGAGCTGCTTGTATATTTTGGAGATTAATCCCTTGTCAGTTGCTTTGTTTCCAAATACTTTCCCCCATTCTGAGGGGTTTTTTGTTTTGTTTTGTTTTTTTTATGGTTTCCTTTGCTGTGCAAAAGCTTTTAAGTTTAATTAGATCCTATTTGTTTGTTTTTATTTTCATTGCTCTAGGAGGTGGGTCAAAAAAGATCTTGTGCGATTTATGTCAAAGAGTGTTCTGTGTTTTCCTCTAAGAGTTTTGCAGTGTCCTGTTTCTACGTATTTATCAGTTTCTACTAGGTTATCTAATTTGTAGGTGTGTGATTGTTCGTAATAGTCTCTTACGATCCTTTGTATTTCTGTGGTATCCATTGCAATGTCTCCTTTCATTTATAAATGTTATCTATTTGAGTCTTCTCTTTTTTTCTTTTTAATAAATTTATTTTATTTTTGGCTGAGTTGGGTCTTTGTTGCTGCATGCGGGCTTTCTCTAGTTGCGGTGAGTGGGGGCTACTCTTCATTGCAGTGTGCGGGCTTCGCATTGTGGTGGCTCCTTTTGTTGCGAAGCATGGGATCTAGGCACGCGGGCTCAGTAGTTGTGGCTCACAGGCTTAGTTGCTCCACGGCATGTGGGATCTTCCCAGACCAGGGACTGAACCCGTGTCCCCTGCATTGGCAGGTGGATTCGCAACCACTGCACCACCAGGGAAGCCCTTCTCTCTTTTTTTTTTCTTAATCTAGCTAAAAGTTTGTCAATTTTATCTTTCAAAAACCAGCTGTTAATTTCATTGATCTTTTCTGTAATTTTTTGGTCTCTATTTCATTTATTTATATTATCCCCTTCCTTCTGCTAACTTTGGGCTTAGTTTCTTCTTTTTCTACTTCCTTAAGGGGTAAAATTAGGTTGTTTGAGATCTTTCTTTTTTCTTAATGTAGACATTTCTATAAACTTCTCTTAAAACTGCTCTTGATGCATCCCACAGGTTTTGGTATGAAGTGTTTTAATTTTTGTTTGATTCAAGGTGTTTTTTTATTTTCCTTTTGATTTCCTCTGTGACCCATTGTTCA